TTTACAACCTAGGGGCTTTTAGGTTTCGCTAGAAATACTGTTTGGTTGATGAGGAATGTTCCCACTAAGTCTTCGTTAGGTGATTAAGCGTATCGGTTCGTTCAGCTTATTTTAGCAATACTATTTAGTTGGTTGTCAAAGGTCGAACAGGATGTTCCAGTCATCTCCAAACTAGTGCTATATTGAACACTTGGGCCTCCAAAGGTATATGTTTCCTGGTTAATAGGTTGTCTTTCTGATATGAATCAGTATAAGCTTTTGGCTCTTACCGGAGATTTTCTGGCAGTTACTTGCCTGGGTTTCACTGTTCAGAAAGTTGTCGAGTGGGAAGATGGGTATGTTAGTCAACACTGTCTTTGATACCGTACCGTCGTTTGGGCACCGTTTGCCAAATTTAGGGGGGCTAAATTCAACGGCTGGTAGCCGTAGTGAGCGGATAGAAGGGTGAGAGTTAGGGTTGCCCCATGAAGGGTGTTAGTTCCGGTGGCCTCTTGGGTCATATTCTTATAGTGGAAGTCCTCCCCTTATCTACAACTTGGGGAGTAAAAGTATATTCTGGGCGATTTCAGCAGAACTCGGTGTTACCCTTAGTAGGGTGGTTTACATTTGGATCACAGAGCACCTTTGTGCGGTCTACTTAACCCTGTGAGTTGGATGTCAAGCCTCAGTTAGTTGCGTCAATTAGACCTCTGTTCACAGTCAAACAGTGCCATTTTAAGAAGATGACTGCTGCATAGCAGTACGTTGAACGGGATGGGACAATGCGGTTGACTAACCTCTGGCTCACATTCAGTCTTTGGCTGCTTGTTTTCCCTTCCAGGATAAGTGACCTTGGCCTGCTTTCATTGTTTGGTGGTGCACTGCAGGGGGCCTGTTGGTCATCGAATGCAGGTGGTCATATTGCGGTAACATAATTGTATTCTGCTCGCACCGTAGTGTTTTTGGCGTCTATCAGGTGTGGCCTCAGCTGTCTTTGGTTTTATGGATCTTATAGTCCTTAAATAAAAGCTGAAATATCCCTCCTTGAGATTTCGGCTATGTCTAACAATGCGCTTTGCCGAAGAAGCATCACATGGGCCTGGGTTAGAACGAGAGGCTGTGAATATGTACCAGACATGTAGGTATGGGCTATTTCTCATAGATTCATAATATGGTCTTATTGTCCCTGTGTCATATCGGCAGCGCACCCACAGTTTGCAGAAGTTGCTTTTGAAGACTGAGCTGTTTTTCATACGACTGAACTACAAACCTGGCAGTTGTCCACTTCCCCAGAAAACTCCTTGGTGGTCTTATAACGTCCTGAATGTTTCTATCTTGTCTCATTCGGCTGTGTAGGCTTCCCATGGACATAGGTATTGTGTCGTGTCCACCCTGTTCAACCTTTCTAATTTAATTACTGGGATGGGGTGACACAGGCGTGTTAATAGAATACAGAGTATGCACTCTGGCCTGCAGAACCGGTTGGCTTGACAGCTAATTATCTCCCTTATCTTAAGCCCAAGGTCATGACATGATATGGCGTAGTGATGAATTTTGTAATTTGGGTGTCGCGGTCTTATCGATACGATAGAATAAACGACAACGGAATGTTTGTCATATGGGATATGAACAAAAAGACTGACGAAGTACACTAAAAAGGTTTGCGACTTAACCTCGAACCTGCAGGATATTCGGCTTCATAGCAATAACGCCAAAGGCCAACAAATCGTATTTATGTGACTAAGTGGGGAAGATGCTACTATAGAGTAGCACCTGTAGTCCTGGCTGTGGTTAGGGAGAACCAGATTTACCACACAAAAGTTCAATTTGGAAGCAACCGTTAGGGAGGATCAAGTTTCCTAATTGCATATCACAGAATAGAGGATTTTTCCCATGGCAGAGGGAAATGAACGTCAATATTCAAACCGCGCACGTAAGAGATTAATGTCTGAGCATGCTTCTTACGTATTTACACATATACATATTATGAAGGTGGTCTTTAGTATATTCATCTCAATACTAGTTCCGGGAGTTGGTCAGGCATTTCTCCTCTTGACTAATTTTGTTTTGGTTAAGACCCAGAAAAGAACTTAAACGTCAAGACCCATTACTCAGAGTGTGGCATGAAAATATTGAATTAAGCAGTCGCAGTGTGTGACTGAACAGACCACTGAAACATAAATTTAACTGTGTCCCTTTTAATGGAAATCATGGTTAAGATGCAAGCTAGAAAATTTGTTTGGACTACTGTTATGGCTACGTTTGTAGTGAAAACTTTTATTGAAAGTGAGGATGAGATTTGCGCTCAACTTGAGGATTTACTGTGATTTTAACATTAAGAGCCAAGTTACACCTTATGCAGCATATTACTTTCCAGCATTCTGAATAGAGATTACTCTTAAAATTACCGGTTTTCTAGTCTCCTTCAAATGATCGTTTGTATGAGTTTGATGCACACATAACGAGCTCTGAAATGATACTATTATTACGGCGCTCATGCATATTTACTTGGATTCGCAAATAGGGACGCTGATATCAAATTGTTTTAACAGACTTCTACTCAATATCTACACTAGGATTTTGCGCCTGATATGAAAATTGGCGGCTAGCAAGTGAGTGTTCGATTTATATTGTAAAGTTTTAGTTGTCATTAATTGCTTTTTATGATTTTGGGTTGTCATTAAAAAGTGTCGCTGAAATAGTGCTGACGAACTTCTAGTTTCTTTGTGAACAGTTGTTTCAGGTCAAAGCTAACTATTGTCACGTTTCTTGAAAGAAATCTCACATAGTTATCATGAATTTTGCCCTTTGTTTGTTTGGATTGGTGTTGTAAGTGTCTCTGAAACCTATATGCACTTCTAACTAACCGTTAGCTGTAAGAATAAAATTAATTAGTGTGGACTACCGTGAACCTACTACAGTTATTACTTTTTTAAGGTTACTACTAAACGAAATATCGTTTAATTGTACACTGAGTTGTCATTCTGATTTTACGAATTCGTGAGAAGTGATCCTTTATATTGTGTACACTCACACATGTTTGTCAGTTTTAGTATTCGAATACTAGTATCGTGGTAGCTACCACGATACTAGTACCACGATCGTACGATCGTGATACTCGTGTGATAAATATGGGCTCAGTCTCATTTTTATCCTTATTGTTATTCGTTCATAGTTTATTTAGAATGTTTTATAACTTCATTTACCTCATGGAGGTTATTGTCACTTCGAGTTTGGGTTCACAATCTGTTTGGTTTATCTATAGCTCACTTGAAAGTTTCAAAATAGAGTGGATTTGAAGTTCTCATATTGAAATGTGACTTACGTCAAGAATGAACATCTTGATGGTTAAAAGTAGTTTCTCTGAAACACGGCACTAGTGGATGGAGTATACGGATATAAGTCATGATAGAAATGAGATTGGTAGCTTATGCGATGCGTTTTCTGCAGTCGTTGTTTCAATACTACTATGAAAACCATTCTTGTTGTTCTCACCAGCACACATTTATTTACTTCATTTATGATATTTTTGTCTTTTATGAAATACTTTTGTCTCCTGACCTCACGTATTTTTACTGTAGCACCACTTATTTTCTGTTCCCTTTGCATTGTGTTTCAGTGTGTGGTGTATTGAATGCACGTCTGTACGGGGTTCTATTTTTTAGAGTGATGTATTTGGAGTGGCGATGTATACAGTGGTCACCTTTACTGCAATTAGATTCCTGATAGGTGTTTTGCTGACTTGTTTGCACACATTCGTCTGATCAACGCATTATTAAATAGTCTTCAGTTCACCTTGTTGTTTGTTTGGTCCTTTAAACTTTGCGATTGTGTGCCTCTACATGAGATTCAGTCTACATCTGGCAGTATAGGGATCCTGAGAAGTGGGATGTGGAGTGCATCCTCAGGATGATTTTGAGTTCTAGTCCTTAAAAGTAGAATAGTGCTAATTCTTAAAGGGTTGCATTGGATAAAGTTACATGGATAAATAAACATTGTGATGTAGTTAGCTAGGTTGGTCCTGTATAGTATTTGTAAAGAGTATGTTTGCCTTGTCATGTTAGCCAGTGCGTAAATGTTTTGGTTGCATGCATGGGTTTATCAGTCTGAGATATAGTCCCGACAATAAACTTTAATGTCTGGTTCGTTGTTTATGTAAGTAGGACTGGCTGTATACACCTACGTTCCGTTACTCTAAGTGAGATTAAGTAGGAAAAAAACTATAATCTCTAACCTCGTTTTGATTTTATTCGAAAGTGATTCTGTATTCTGAAACATCTAAGGTCAATGGTTTGAAACTAAACAATGTTACACAGAATAATTAGCCTATGTATCCAGAATAATTTTTCTAACAAGTCATCAGATATTTGACGTTTATTCTGTTGTCACGGCTTATTCTTGAATGTCTTATTTAAAACGTTTCGGCTTTTAGGTTAAATTCGGGACTGGGATTTGACTTTCAGCAAGTAATTCACGGATTCGAACCCAGAGCCCACCCAAGGAATTTTGGGCATCCAGGTAATTTTAACAGCCCTCACAGCAGGTGTAGTCTGATGCATTGAGTTGCACTTGATCTCTGAGTGCAACCCAAACTTTCCACTAGGTGACAAGCCGACGTCCGATTTGTGATGGCGAATGATACTGCCCAAATGACGAAGTCTGGGAAATTAGTGTTTTATTTTAACTTAAAATTCTGATAAGTCCCCAAAATCACATCCTTAGATACTAGTAATCAGCGGCAGCTCATTATAGTATTCTAATATTCTAACACTTCTTACACTTCGTGGCCGAATAGTGTGAGCATATGATTGCCAAATATTAAGTGACTTTTCTGAATTCACTTCAGTCACTTAGGCTGACTACTAGCTAGTAGGACAAACCACACTAGATATATACAAAGGACTGGATTATGTATACTTACATAGCGTAATATTTTACATTATAATTCTCCTGATGTGTGTTGTAACAGATCCTTTTCTGTTTATTATTTTTTTCAGATATTTCAAATTAATGGTGAAAAGATGAATACAAGGCGGCGATCATGTTTGTCTCCAGAAATAAACTATACATACTTAGAGCCTGTTAAGCTAACTCCTACTGAATCTGTTTCGCCCCCGTTTTCTGCGCAAAGTCTTCGTTCAGCCAAATATGAAAGTGAATATTTTCAGAAAAGTCCTCAGTGCGATGTAAACTCTCCAGTCAGTACAAGCCCTACTGATTATACTGGTGTCTCTAAACATTCGGGACAAAGAAGTCTAAGACAAAGAACTGCTTCAGGCACGCCATCAGAACCGTCACATGCCACTGAAACGAAACAGTCCACTTCCTCCACGAAACCTCGTGGATTGTTGAACAGGGTAAGCTTAAATCTATTTTCCTGTCCTCACAGTAACGCTGGTTCATTAAATCGTATGAATTTGTCTAGGGATTTTAGGCTGGATAGTGATAAGACTGGTAAAGAGGAAAGGTTGGGCATGAGGCTGGCAACCCTATCCCTTAAAAATGAATCCTTAAAAATGAATACACACCACTGCTACCGAAACTTCAAGCCTCTCTAGCTTGAAGCCCTATGTTCCACTTGGAACATAAAGGAGAAAAAAAAGCCGCTGCTGAAGATTCTCTATGCAGATATTTAATTGTCTCTAACCACCACTATGCCTTAGTGTCATAACTTGTTTCTAGTTAATCGTTAGGATGAAGAATTTATTGCTTTGTCTGAATATGATGCTAGACTGTTAGCTCTTAATCCCTATACCCTAGTCAATTTATATTTTTGACTATTGTAATTAATGAAAACAAAACACGTAGTTCAGCCAAGAGTATCTTTTCGGCGACGAATTCATTTTTTCATAGCTGTACAATCGCAAATATATATGTTATTTTGTATCCATGTGTACATTAAGTTTGTCAAACAAAAATACAATCGGTTATGGTTATTTTAACTAAACAGGTGAAAATCAGTAAGTTCTGGATAGAGTTACGCAATACAAAAACGGTCAAGAAAATCGGGTGTTAATGAAAGTAGTGTAGTAACAAAGGTGATGAGTTGCCACAAAGTTTTTAAAAAGAAGTTATGTAATATTATGAATAGTTTGATGATTGAGTTTTACTCAGTCAGGATACACCTAGGAACAAAGTAGAGAATACGAAATTACGTAAGAGGTCTAAGTGAATAAAAGAATTATAAGCAATTAAAGAAACGGACAAAGAAACAAAATTAAGTCATCAAAAATCAACAAAGTTGTTACCATGATAATAGAAGTGTTTGAGTAATTCTCTTTTGCATGCACAGCTCCGGTTTTTCTATGTGAATGGCCTGAGCTTCAGCGATACAAAGAAAACGAAACCGTAGTGCCTTTGGTAGGTTATTCTTGATTCTGTAGATTACTTTGAAGGAGGCGTTTGTTGAGATGGAATGATCAGTGTTAACCAGGTGTTTAATTATCGCACTCCTTATAGCACCACTATTGCCTTTTTGCAACCATGTTAGATAGTGTTCTTGAATTCTCTTGGATAGGATGCGCGTCGTATGACCTGACTCCGCAGCAGCAGGTGAACTGATATATGCACATAGAAGTGGACAGATGCGGGATCTTGTCCCTAAGGCTTCTTCGGATCAGCGGGCGACTGGAGAACACTATTCTTAAAGTTGCTGCAAAAAATGTTCTCAGAGATGATGTGATCCTTCTCTTGAGAATATCGCTTGTTAAATGTCTCTTGAAATCCAATTTCGTGTAGAGTTTCTTTTTCGGCGCAAGAGAATTTTTATTTCTCCAAATTTTTGGTTTGATATTTTTGTCAATGAATCTTGGTGGGTATCCATCTTGGATGAAGATTTCTCTCAAAAGATCTAATCCTGTTTCTAGAACATTGGGATCGCAGACGCGTCGGATGCAGGTGGCAAGGGATTCAATTAAATTCCGCTTTTGTTGAATGGGTATCCAGTTATAGAAGCTTTTAAGTTGATCATTCTAAGTAGCTTTTCTATGGATCGATCTTCTTAAGGTCCCATCAGTTCTTCTTGTTAGTTCCACATCAAGGAAGGGAATATTTGATTCGTTTTCCATTTCGGGAGTGAATTTTATTGCTGGATGGCAACAGTTACATGTCTTCAGCAGTAAATTGGGGGCATTATTGTTGTCACAAATAATGAATATGTCATCTGCGTATCTTTTATAAAGTCTTAAATTATAGATGCTCGGCTTTAGTGGACCTTTCTTGAGACTTGCCACGAAGCAATGTGATAGTAGTGGAGCCAACGGAGATCCCATTGCAATACCATCTTTTTGTCAATAGATGGTGTAGAAATCTAATTTGGACATATAGTCAATGTGCATATTGCTAATCATAGTTATGATTCAAAGATGACTTGCTGTGGAGTTGTTTTTTTGTGTCATAAGGGAATATTGTGTAGGGAGTTTTATGTCTATACAGTTACTGCTGGATTATTAATGTCCGTTGTATCGTCACTGCCTATCATATACGACATTCGAGTGAGTTATACCAGTTGATACAGTTTCAGATTGTGAAAGGAAAGTTGGTTTGCTGAATACTTCTTGGAGGGCTTAACAACTAGAATTGTTCTAATCATTTGCAGTGTAGTTATTATTGTTTTTTTATGCCTTGCTGTCCGAATAGGACATAAAGCCTCAGCGTTACCTCTCCAATGGGCTCGATTCTCTGTCGTCACTTTCACTTGGCTCCACAGCCTGCCTACAAGCTCTCATTATCCCCTTACATGAAATCCGTGTCACTCTCGAACGCCAAACTCGTCACTTCCCGTCTGGGTTCCACTCCAGTACCCGCAGTATATTGTCATTTGAAGATATCCCCCAGCGTACACCGTGCAGGGTAGTTGCTTTGATGAAATTAATGTCGGCTGATAAAGGTGTTTCTCTTTACAAATTTCACTTGTTATCTTCGTATTAATAATTATTTTATTTGTAAATTTATCGTATTTATTGTCCATTGTAACTTTGAGTTTGATTGAATTGTAATCAGTGTCATTAAATGATTTTATCTATTCCCCCTATTATCCTCCAGTTTTAAATCCCTTGTGTTTCTTTTAACCAGCGACTACGGAGACCATCAAAGGTGATTCCAATTTGTGGTCTATGCTTGGGTACAGCAGAATTAAACAATAAAACTCAAGCCCCAGAGGATATGATCGCCTGTTGGGAATGTGGACAATCAGGTATAAACCAGTTTTTTTGTTTTTATTAATAAACGTTACAGTGTTCATATGTTATGATTCATGTGTCCACATTTTATCATATAGTTTTAAAGCATACTAATAACTGTATTCGTTGTTTCTTTACTTATATTTGTATTACTCTACTATCGAGTGGTTGTTTTCAACAGTGGGTGAGACCGTTGAAACACTGACTGATTGGTTTCAGCATCGAACTTTGCACAGATGTGCAGCAGTTCGAGTTGCCACACTCCCTCCTTGTAGCACACAAAGCAAGAGAAGAGATTAAAGAGAGATTCAAAAGAGAGATAATACACAGTATTACGGAAGAACAATAGAATTTTATTGGATATGACTGATAAATCACAGAGAGTGAATGGATCTGCGCTAGCCATTGAGAACGATTTTGAGCCGTATCACCCATTGTCTCCAGCCTTCATTGGTTCTTAGCATCCCGAGGACCTCAACCAGGAAGCCAGTCTACACTTCGCTGCGTGGCTGGCTGGCTGGCTTAAACTAACTGTTGCGGATTTCATTGACTTATGAAGCCATGTTTTGGTTTGGCCACCACTAGCTCTTTTCCAGCCTGATCCTATGTCAGCTAACATTGCCCGTTGTCGAGGAAGGCAATGACTAGGCATGAGTAACACATGTTTCAACAATCTCAATCAATGTAACTTCAAAGCCTGGTCTATTGATTTCCCCTTCAACTCACCTAGCACTCGACCGATGCCTAACCTCAATATTGCTCACCCTATCATACCATTTAACACGGGAGACAGAACTCAGACACCTATGATCGAAGACAGCTAGCCGGCCTTTTCATGTCTTGCACTTTCAATGGTCACGTCTCACAGCCATAAAAGCGGACGGGTCGAACTGCTGAGTAGTATACATATCCCTTAGTTGACAGCCAGCCGACTATCATGTCTACTAAGCCAGAGGTGGCGTAAGTTGGCATATGCCAAACGAGCCTTCTGTATCCGTTCTGAGATTTCGTCAGCGATCAACCTGCTGGAACTGGTTGATGCAACTTCCCAAATAAGTGAAGTGGTCAAACACTCTGCTACTTCACTCTCCTCTGTCTTTAAGCTAGGAGTGAGGCGATGTAGTCCAGTCCTGTAACCTGATCATCTTACATTTGACGGGAGCTAATCGCATGCCAAACATCCGAAGATTTCTGCTCCGCACTAGGTGTTCAGAAGACCCTGCATTTTGTCAGCTAGAGTCTTCACCTTGGAAGAAGGACTATATCATGTGCATATTCTAAGTCAACGAGGCTATTATTCCCTGGTGGTAACAAGTCAACCCGTAGGTCGCTGAATTCACTTATGGTTAAGCCCATTAGTATGTACATCTATGATGAAGTTAAACAGAAGTGGTAACAGTGGGCTGGCATCCCTGATGGACACCACTGGTGGTTGTCATTACTTTAGATGACATCTCTCCGTAGGCTGTCATCTGGCTGACGGCTGCATGAGTTCGAGTAGATTGAGTGTCTTGATCAGTGCGATATATTTTCTCGACATTCTCTTCACAGCTAAACATCGCCATAATGCCTCTTGGTTGACTGAATTGAGTGCCTTTTTCAGGTCAAGAAATATGACGATTATTGGACACCGGTAAGTATGCTTATGTCCCAGAATCTGTCGAAGGGTGAAGATATGTTCAGTAACCCTCTTCCTGGTCTCAAGCCTGCCTGATTCTCGTTTTTGTTCCTCCTGAGAACCACTTAGTCTACGCATTAATTATTATTGAGCCTAGAACTTAAGATACCATATTAGTCAAGCTAATCCCCCTATGATTATCAGGGGAAGATTTGTCTCCCTTCTTATATATCGGGATAATCAATGACTTACGTCAGCTCGACGAGACTATCTGTGATTCCCAGACTCTGCCTAATACCTTTCTGAACTCAGACAGAAAGCTGTCCCCGCCGTCTTCAAACACCTCTGGCGTCACTGCATCAGGTCCCGCTGCTTTTTCACGTTTCAGACTAGTGACAGCTTTTGTAACCTCAGTTAGGGTCGGACGACTTTTGTTTGTATCCCATTTAGGGAGATGTTGGATGCTCAGTTGGTTGAGCGTGGCTGTAGACCAGTTAAATTTCTCCTCAAAATGTTCTTTCCAACGTTCCTGTAATCTATCCCGGGAGCTAATTATGGTGCCATCTTTCTTGGAGACTGCTTCATTTATCATTTGCCTAGCTAAGCGAAACAGCTGACGATAGTTCAGCACCAGATATGTATATATAAATCGGAAATTGACGGAAGTAACTAAGCATATCCCATTGGATTCCGTCCCAGTCACTGAAGGATTAGCGACTTCAACTGGTAATCTGAAGCTCCTAGGTTCGATCCCTGGCAGTTGGAAGGTAGCTGTCCACTAATGAAAAGTCTCAAATTAGGATGAAACAACTGTCCAGTACTTCCTAGATTTCCAATGATTTCCTAACTGATGTGAACCCATGATCACACTTGTAACGAATACTATTCTACTTCCAAAAGAATGAAATGTGGTTTCACTGTTCAGAAGTGCAATAATCAATTATCAGTAATGTGCGAGTACACAAACATGTGACAAGCAATGAATATTTTGTCAATAGTACACCATGTAGTATAGAATTTGACCTATCTCTTACGTGTCACTTTCCCCGGTGGTTTTGATCGCTTACATAGTCAATTCTCCTGGCATAATTTCTAGAAGTCTGACCTGCTTGGAATGTGTTTCGTGTCACAGGCACCAGGGTGGTGGATTTCCATTTGTTTAGCGAGAAAAACCAAAAAACTTGGTAACAGACTGTTCGATTGAGGAAACCGTTGAGTGACGACTTCATAGAAAGGGATGAAATCGAGATGTACTGTTCAAGCTCTGTGTTCCACTCGGAACTAATGGGAATGATAATATTAATTTCTTTTTTACTTTTGAGAAATGCGACAATCGATTGCCAGTTTATTGCGTGAATATATCTAAACAGTCGACAAAGAACGGTGGATATTTAGCCAATTTGACCACTCTCTTACGAGTTACTTAACCTGGTATTTTTGATTGGTTACATAATCAATTCTGCAGGTATAATTTGTAGAAGTTGCTGCTGCTGCTGGATTCAACATAGAACTTGGCACCGAAGTGCAGCAGTTCGAGTTGCCACTTTCCAAATAGCACACAAAGGTAGACAAGAAGGCATGAGTGAAGAGAATCAATAGAGTTTTAACAAGTATAAGAGTGAAACAGAATGAGTAATGGTAGAAAGGAATATGAAAGATTACAGAAACTGAATACATCTGCGTAAGCCATTGACAACGATTTTGAGCCTTGTCACTTATTGTCTCCAGCCTTTGATTCTTAGAGTCCCGAGGGCGGGCCCCAACCCGGAAGTCTGCATCTCCCTACCTGACTCAGTTTAACTGTCAAGGATTTCATGGATTGATGAGGCCATGTTTTTGTTTGGCCACCACTTACTCTTTTCCAGTCTGCACCTATATCACTTAGTAATGCCCGTCGGAGTGGGGGAGGCGATGGTTAGGCATGCGCAGCACGTGACCTAGCCATCTCAATCTATGTAACTTTATGGCCTCATGGATTGATTTTCCCTCTTTGCCTAACACTCTACGCCTAACGTCAACATTACTTACCTTATTATACCATTTAACGCGAGAAAGAGATCGTAAACATCTGTGGTCAAAAACAGACAATCTCTTCATGCCTTCCGCTCTCAATGGCCACGTCTCACCGCCATAGAGAAGGACGGAGCGAACTGCTGAGCAGTATACACGTCCCTTGGTTGATAGCCGGATGTCACGCCTACGCCAAAGACGGTGTAAGTTAGCGAAAGCAGCCCGAGCTTTTTGGATCCGTTCTGTGATTTCGTCACCAATCAATCCGTTGGTGCTGATACAACTTCCCAAATAGGTGAAGTGGTCAACATGTTCTATCACTTCACTCCCTATCACTAAGCTAGGAGTTGACGTAGTCCAGTCCTGTAGCAGCATCTTACATTTTACAGGGGCGAATCGCATGCCAAACATACGAAGATTGCTGCTTAAGGTGTTCAGAAGACTCTGCATTTTGTCAGCGTCCTCCCCTAACAGGACTATGTCGTCTGCGTATTCTAAGTCTATAAGACTATTCCCTGGTAACAAGTCGATTCCTAAGTCGTTAAGTTCAGTTTAGGATACTTCCATTAGCATATCTATGATGAAGTTAAACAGAAAAGGGGAAAGTGGACATCCTTGACGGACACCACTGGTTGTTATCAATTCAGATGACAATTCCCCATAAGCCCTTACACAGCTACGTGAGTTTGAGTAGAGTGCCTTGATTAGTGCAATGTACTTTCTTGGCACTCCCTTCATAATCAAACATTGCCATAGTACCTCTCGATCCACGGAGTCGAAGGCCGCCTTCAAGTCAAGAAATATGGCAATTGTTGGACGCCTAAAAGTGTGTCTATGTTCTAGGATCTGTCGGAGAGTGAAGATATGATCTATGCACCCGTCCGAAAGCTGCTACCTTGACGTGGTGGTCGGAATTGAACACCGCAATGACCCAACAAGCTATACTGGCTGGAACTTATGTTCCTGCAGGTCCTACCATGCCAGAAAGGTTGTTTGGATAGCGGTTAGACTAAAAGCAGTTACCCAATCCAATCCTATGACTTCAAATAAATCACAAATTTGTAGAAGTCCAATCTACTTTGTATGTGTGTGTGTTATGTCACAGGAACTAAAGTAGATTTCTATTCCGACGTCCTCATAACATTAGAAATTTTATTATTAAAAGAGCTAGGTAGGTGACTTGTTTTGAAGCCTGATTAGTGGTCGATACCCACTTCTGTTCCACCTATTTTGTTCATTTTTCTACGCGGGCATTTTTCTCTTTTTTTGAGCTAGAGAATGAGAAGTTCAGTTCTAAAATGTGTAATTATTATTATTAATTTTTCATTCGGTTGGTTTTCACTGTTATTGGTTTGCTCTTCTCCTTCTCTCTCTCTTTAAAAATAAAATCTTTTAGGTCATCCTACTTGTCTGAAAATGCCACCAGATCTGGTTGCTCGTATTACACAGTTACGATGGCTTTGTGTCGACTGTAAACGATGTTGTTTATGTCAACCGAATGCAGACAGTCAGAATGCAACAGTTGACAAAGAAGACAATCAGTCAGACTTACTACTTTGTGATGTTTGTGATCGAGGTTTTCACTTAAAGTGTGCTGAACCGGATATGTCAGAGCCTCCTGAAGGTAAGTGGACATTGTTTCAGATATATTCATCTCGGGTTCAGCTGTAGTAGTAGTAGTAGTAGTAGTAGTAGTAGTGTAACGACAGAAGACAAGGGTCAGGCAACATATCGTTTATTGAGAACATCAAGAGATATTTATAGATTTTCATGTACATTATTACTCGTTATTGTCAGCAGAGAAGCAGCGTCTTCTGATTGGTTGTTTTCTTGCTCAAGGTTATTCTACACTGCTTGTAACCGTTTCTTAGAATGCTAAACCATGTATCCGCGAATCGTATTTGCACACATTAAGTCTGCTGTGATTGGCTGGTGAGTTCCTCAAGGTGAAGCTTTGTTATTGTTTTTTCTCATGATCCCGATTGTTGTCTACAATTTTGGCTTGCAGACAGCTCTCACCGCAGTAGTAGGTTTAAAAGTACCAATATTACATCCTGTTCATGATCCATTACGTGGTGGTGAAGGTAGCCTAAAAGTTGTGTAATGCTCTTTTGTTTCCATTGGATTCTCTCCTAAGAACACTGATACGGCCTAGCCAACGCTGGTATATTGAAACATGCATTTCAGATTTCACTAACTTGTTACCACTCTGATTACTCACAGAGTGTGATTTATCTCTACATTAGTTAGCCTGTTCGTTACAACTCTGTAAAATCAATATTAAACTGTTTTAGAAGTTGTAATGACTTTTTCACTTGACTAGGTAACCTTTTCCCCAGGCTTGCTAGACGAGATTCTGTAGTGCCATTGGTTGGAAATAGAATTTGGGTCATATACATGGTTGACAAGCATTTTACTATCGGACTACTGACGCTAACTTGTCCAGGAAAATACCATTTTTTTATACTCGCTGACCTACGCCCGAATACTGACTGTCAGCCGGGGATGTTCCACAGTTTCCCAGTTGAATACCTCACTGGTCTGATTAGTGGTTATAAAATAATGGGATGAATAGGATGTGTGTACTCAAACGGATGATTGAGAGTTTTAGAATTCGAAATTTTAAAATTGGAGCATTTATAAACATTAGTCCATTATACTGGCTGATAGGAATAGTAGCCATTTATTAAGGATAGAATTAATAGGTTCATTTTTGAACATGTTGGATCCACCCATTACAGTTGCCATCTTGTTATGCTGCTAGACTTTTGTAGGGACTCTGTTTGTTTGATTGGTCGGAGGATTTCATTATAACCTGACATCAGTTAGACAACTATTGGAAAACTTGGGAGTACTGGATAGCCGTTTCGTCCTAGTTTAGGACTCTTCATCGGTACGTACCCACCACAGGGGTTCGAACCCATGACCTTCTGGGTATATCATCGAAGAAGACACTGCTAAGTGGTCACACTATCTCGTGAATTAGCAGAAGTTAGGATTCAAAGGACATTGGATCGGGTCCCAGTGGCTTACTGGTCTACGAGCTTGCCTTGTAACCAGAGGGTCCTGGGTTCGAACCCCGGTGGGTTCGTACTAATGAAGAGTCCCAAACTAGGACGAAAGGGCTGTCGAGTACGCCCAGTTGGTTTTCCAGTGGTTCTCTAGCTGATGTCAGCTCGTTATGGAATCCTGGAGCCAATGAAATTTTTTAAATGACAAGCACGATATACAGTATCAGATTAGCTTAATGCTGCGTCATAAAAGATCACATTCAGTCAAACTGATATCTAACATAACATTATCACAGTGTTGGTTATTTTTATGTAGAAATATAGTCTCTGCAATTTTTACTCACATTTGATGGTTTCTAGTTGTGTGTTTTTTCATTCTGTTTAACAGTGTGCCTGTGTGTGTGTGTGTGCGCGCCTACATGGCGTGGCTTGAATGTACCTTAATTGATAATCGGATTCTACTAAGTTATTATATTGTTAATTTCGGTTGTGTGGTGTTCTTTAAAGCAGAATGGTTTATCTGTGGAACTTTTCTTATCATTCCTGACAACATCAGTATTAACTTCATAATTGTGCTCCACTAATTAGAGAGTGTACAGTAAGGTATTATAGCTTAGGCTATAAGTACGGTCTAGGACACAGACATGCATGTGTGTGGCTGCCAATTAGAACTATACTCTAGTTATGTTAGGAGAGTACTTAGTGTCTATAGAAATTCTCATGCTCTGTAAATATATATATATATATATATATATATATCATATCTGTGTAATCCGACTGTTTTAGGTATGTGGACCTGTCCAATATGTTCACAATCTGCTGATAATCCGTGTATGGACTTAGATCCAAGATTACGTTCTATTCAAGTTTGTGATCAATTAACTCAACATGAAATCGACTGGATGAAGAAAGCAGCTAATGTCAGCGGTGCTTATCTTATAGCCCCGTTATCTTTCTCTTTTCAACAATCACCAGAACCTGTAAAACATCATAATGCTGATAGTGATATGCTGCAAACAGTTAAGCCTACCTCTCCAGCTTTATTGAAGTCGGAGCCTCCACTGTCGTCGCCGCCGCCTTATTCATCACCGGAAAAATGTCAAGCTGTCAGTAATGATGGTGATGATGGTAATAATAATAGCACAACTACCATAACAGAACAACAACAACGACAGTAGGCAAATCATCTAAACGCTTGATTCAAAAATCGTTAACCGACTGGACTGTGAATTGTAAATCCACTAGAAAGTCAACACATTCCATTCCGGATTCTGTTGTTCAAGCTGATGAAAAAAGTACAAGTCAAATATCGACTGGTAATGAAGTGAAGAAAAATATCAGCCCACTTGCTCTTAGAAGAGGTAATCATATTAGCGTCATTTGTTACTATTTTATCGGGATTATTATTATTTATGTTATTCCTTTACGTTCCCCAAGTGGAACATAGTGCTTCAAGCTAAGGCTCTGAAGCTTCGGTAGCAATGGTTTCGTTTCACGCCCAACCTTTCCTCATTATTGGCCTTACTACTGGAGTGTATTTCGGCCGAGGATCGAATCCCGGACCATGTTGGGGCATGGCTGGCGAGTATTCTACTGCTTTACCGTCGACGCGTCATTTATTGTATGCGCCTGATTTTATGCTTATGACTTAATTGTATTGACATCTTGTAGCATTCGACATTCAACGACATTATATTCTATCGACTCTATTCATACTTTCTTTCGGAATTGGGATTGACTATAATTCATACTTTATCTCTCTCTCCATAGTGACTCATCAGTGTATTCTACTCAGGGTTATAAGCAGTCACTGGTTGCCTAAGTGTAGCTCAGTAATGATGTCTCTGTTTGCAGCAGTAGTTGATGCGAGTTCGAATCCCTGATGGGACATTACTTCTTTCTTGGTTTCAGGTGAGCGTAGCTAAGGAGTACGAATAAGCATGAGACCTAGATTATTGTATGGCTTCGTCGCATTTATCCATGCATCCACACAGAGATCTGCTTGTATTATCGGTGTTATTCTACTCAGCTTCCGGTACTTCTGTTGGCACAAATAAAACTATTTAGTTCTTTGATTGAACACTAGTCAGTAACTAGTGTGATGTGTGTCTAGTCCTTTCTTTGGTGCAGGCTGAATTGTATCAGTCAGGTATGCGATTTGCCCGCCATTGGGGGTGACATGGGTTCGAATCTCAGAAGGCAGGACATGAGTTCCTTCAAGGTTGCAGATAGGCCTTGCTGACCCGGTGAGTGCCAACTAGCTCGGAACCTAGGCCCAAGGCTTCCTTCGGCCAAGTACCTCCAACCAATTAACATCAACGATTTAGTTCTGTTAGATGGTGCTGAGATACTGATGTTTTCGATAATTTTGGAATGTTCGATATGATTTCATTATCTGTTAAAAAAAACTATGGTTGTAGATGTGGCCTAGATCAATAATCTGAAGATGATTTATTCAAGAGTACTTACATTTTCGCAAATAACTGACTGACTAGTTTCAACGCAGAACTTTGTGCCAATTCGATTTGCCACACTCTATGTAGCACACAAAGCAAGAGAAGAGATTAAAGAGATTCACAAGAGAGATAATGCACAGAAGTGTGAGGGAAAAAGAATAGTAATACGGAAGAACAATAGAAGTTTATTGGATATGACTGATAAATCACAGAGAGTGAATGGATCTGTGCAAGCCATTGAGAACGATTTTGAGCCATCTCATCAATTGTCTCCAGTCTTCATTGGTTCTTAGCATTCCGAGGATCCCAACCAGGAAGCCAGTCTACACTTCGCTGCGTGGCTGGCTGGCTGGCTTAAACTAACTGTTGCGGATTTCATTGACTGATGAATCCATGTTTTGGTTTGACCACCACTAGCTCTTTTCCAGCCTGATCCTATGTCAGCTAACATTGCCCGTTGTCGAGGAAGGCGATGGCTAGGCATGCGTAGCACATGCAAACATATAGTCATTGCTTACCGCAGCTGTCTACTGTACAGAAAGTGCCAAACCATTATCCGTTCCAATCGCAAGGTGAAATGATATCGACTGAAAAAGTAAACTTCTGTTCATAGACAATAAACCCTTGTGAGTCTTTTTGCAACTTTTCGCTATCTGTCAATTTATTTCAACCAATGGGCATAGGCAAGTATAGTGGTAGTAGTATAGTTTCTCAGGCAAAACAATATGGTACCTTTTTTCAAAACTTCCATTCAAAATGAGAGCAAAACTTGTATCTAAGAATTCATTGAAGCTATTATGGCGCATTCCGGTCACCAGGAGATCATCTGACAGTTAACCTCTCGTCGAGCTGCATTAAAAACCATTCAAACTATGAATGTATTCGTCGAAATGGTACTGTCCAATTTCCAAGTGTGCAAGTGTAACGACGGAAGTAAAGAGAATTGGGAACGGGCTATATTTATTAAGGAAAACGCACCACATTTATGCATTTTTAACCACATGATAAGTCATTGATAGAAGAATAAAACTTGGGCACTGTGGTAAAGTATAATTCCATTATGGGTAAATTTTATTTTGATAGAGTCTCACAGTGTTATACCTAAATGATGAAATAAAACAGATAGAAGAGGTGTTGGTTTTAAATAACCATCCTCTAAAATTCATTAGGAAGATTGAAAAACGCCAAAAGAAAAATAAAAAGAATTGTGAAACTATTAATAATAACATAAATAAGAGAGAATATAAGTCATCTACAGTTATACCATATAAAGAGGGGACATCTGAGACCCTACGTAGGATTCTAAATAAAGCAGGAATTAGGGTGGCATTTAAACCTACAAACTCACTCAGGGACAGGCTCTGTAGGTTGAAGGACCCAGTTGACCCAATTAGACAAAATATAGTTTACAAAATACCCTGCAATGACTGTGAGGTCAACTATATAGGTCAAACTAGTAGGTCAGGGGTAGTCAGATTGTCAGAACATAAGAATTTAGCTAAGGTAAGAATGGTTGACCCCGAGAAGATAAATAATTTAGAAAAAACGCTCAGCAATTGCAATGCATGCATTAGTACACAACCACACAATAGGGTGGGAGAGGGTTAAAATTCTAAAAAGTAATCTAGGTAGGTGGAGAGAGAGGTTGATTACTAAATCCTTGTTCATCGAATCTACACCCAACACATGCAATAGGAATGATTCATCACTTATACCCGAAATATGGAAAATATTACTACCAATCAAATCAAGGGAAAAACAACAGAACTATATAAATGAATTTAGGAAGTCGTGTGATTACCTTGATATGATTATGAGCTGTAATAAATTGTGCTCGAAACGTCATCAGTAAACATTACTGTATAACACTGTGAGACTCTATCAAAATAAAATTTACCCATAATGGAATCACATGATAAGTCAGCTAGGTCAGAGGAGAAATCAATTGTTCTGATTGGTTGGTTATCGGCCTAGTTTTTAACAGTGAAATGAGAAGTTGTCCAATGAGATTTGATGAATTAATACTTCTACCTGTGCAGCCAATCACTGACTTAAAATGTTGCTTTCGAAATTTCGGTCTCTTCCTCTTAATCTGTATGTATATACTACTTATAAATCTTGTCAGTAGCGCACACCATACAAGTACTTTACATGGCTGTCTATGTATTTGGTTCACTATATATCAACAGTACTTCTTTGTCGGCGCATATAATGGAGGTTACCATTTCATGGGAGTCACTTCGAAGCACTTGTTGTGGTGTGGCTTGGTTGTGTGTTATGTATTCCTTCCAAGCTATCCCCCAGGTGATCACTATTCCTTGGCATTAGACCGCTTGGAAAGGATAAAAATGTGAGATACTATAGGGTAAAATCTATATGACAGTTATGTCATGACTAGCTGATATATGCAAAAGATGAGAGTCACTTGTTTGAGGGGTTATCATACTTACAGTTCCCCTGTTATGCTGTCACAAAGTAAAAGTAAATCAATGACAATTCTCATCGTGTTGAGTATATTTCATTCTGTAATTTCCCAGTTTTCCCCTCCTATTATCTCTCTCCGTAATATATTTATGATTTTGTTTGTTTATGCTTTGCTTTCAAGTTGAGTAGTCACATAAATACATTATTTTGACGCGTAAAATGTTTTTATGAAGTATATATATATTTTTTGAAAAATAATAACAAAATAGAACAAAAAATAGTTTACAATTTTTATCCTATATCAGAGAATATTTACGATGAGATGAATATTGAGTGGGTGAATGAGTGAGTGAGTTAAGCAGTATAAATTAATATTATAAACGCTAATCTTACTCCTCTACGCTTACCTTAATTAATACGCTGTGACATGTGACGCGTAGAAAAGATGGACACATTTTGTTAGCCCATAGAACACAGTGTTGTGTTTTTTTCTTCCCAAAATACTTTAACCCAGAAATATTTATCGGACTGATCAAAATAATATGAATAAGGATAGAGGAGAGAAATGACTAAAATTTAGGGCGACTACTGCATACCTGTTCATTCACATTCTCGTAGTGCTTTTGATTTAAGACAGAAATGAGTGAAACTTGGTTAAACATTAGGAGGAGTTATACGCTGACGCTGGCTAGCTAGTAACGATAACATACTATTCAATTTTTTTATCCCAGAATTCTGAATGTCACTCACAATTTATCTAGTTCATTTTGGTCACTCGTTTCGTAATGGAAACTATTCACTTGTCAGTGTGCGAAGGATTTGATAAATCTCTAGATTAAACTGGTGAAAATGAGTAAGTTTTGGGTAGAGTTACGAAATACAAAAACAACCAAGAAAATCGGGTGTTAATGAAACTAGTGTAGTAACGAAGGTAATGAGTTGTCGCAGTTGTTAAAAAGGAGTTACGTAATAATATGAATAGTTTGGTGATTGAGTTGCACTCAGTCAGGATGCACATAGGAACAAAGTAGAGAATATGAAATTACGCAAGAGTTCTAAATGAAAACAGGAATTATGAGCAATTAAAGAAACAGGTAAACAAACTAAATTGTCATCAAAAATTAACAAAGTTGTTACCATGATAGTGGAAGTGGTTGAGTAATTCTCTTTTGTATGCACAGCTCCTGTTTTTCTATGTGAATGGCTAGAGCTTCAGCGATACAAAGAAAACGAAACCGTAGTGCCTTTGGTAAGTTATTCTTGACTCTGTAGATTGCTTTGAAGCAGGAGGCATTTGTTGAGATGGAATGATCAGTGTTAACCAGGTGTTCAATTATCGCACTCGTCCTTCAGATTGTCCATGAACTAACACAATCAGTCAGAAAACCATTGGAAACCAACCAGGGAGCACTGGATGGGTGTTTTGTCCTTGCCTGGGACTCTTCAACAGTGCGCACACATGACCCTACTGGGAATCGAACTCAGGAGTTTTGTGTTCACAATGTGACCTCACTGATCATTCAGCCACTGAGACGGAATCCATTGTCTCGTCAATTCTCGATACCAGCGGGATCCACCTATTTGCGTGTGAGGACAAATACTCGCCAGTGACTGTTGGCGGTCGCTCTGTATGTCGTGAGAAGTTAGTATTCATGAGCCATTGGTTTCTCTTCCAGTGGCTGAACGGTCAACGGGTTCGCCTTTTAACCCGAAAGTTCTAGATTCGATCTCTGGTAAGGTTACGGGTGTCTACCACTGAAGAGTCACAAACTAGGATGAAATAGCCGTCCGGCACCCCCTACTGGTTTTCACTGGTTCTCTAACCAGAGTCAGTTTGTGATCAATGCAGGAATCAATCGTATCCCTGCAAAGGTACACTTGAAAATGATAATGGTAATAATAATAATAGGCTCTTTTTTCAAACTACGACTTGATATGGAATGAAATTTTTAGCATCCCCCCTTACAAAATAAAATCAAAAGAAAATAACCACAACATTGTCATCCTAGTATAACGTGCTTACAAATTCGCGGAGAGTCACTCAATTCATGTTTGTACGCTTAATTCCTTCATTGTTCATCGTTATCCATCGTGTGATTTTTCCCTTTGAATTTCTATGGAACACGGAAAATGATAGGCAGAAATGTTTTGTCTTTTGTTTGTTCGAAAATGCATACGTATTTGAGGACACTTGATTACCTCAAGCGTAATTCGGTACTAATGTAATTGGCGGAATAAGAATATTTTCTGTGTAGATGACAGAATCTGATTTTGTGTGTGTATGTAGTCGACTTGCTTTCTGCACCGATATCCATTTCTGTTATTGTTGCACAGGTTTGTTTTTAAAAAGATTTTTATCATATATTGCGTAAACTTTAAAAAAATCTGTTTTTTCCACTAACATCAGTGCCAGTTGTATGTATATCTAAACTCTGTTTCATGTCGTGTGTTATTTTTTTTTTCTGTTGTTGCTATTGTTGTTGCAGTTTCACGTACTCGACGTTCTTCTATGTGTGCTAGTTTAGCCTGGCGAGGTTTACTCCGTTCTTGTGATAGACCTAAGTCAGCTTCTGTACAGTCTGTTGAAATGGATATAGAAAAACATGGAAGTCGTCATGAGGAACAAGACGAAGATGAGGAAAAGGAGAAGGAGGACATCGACGATGAAGATGATGATGATGATAAAACAGATATTTTAACTGAGGAAAATATTTCTGCAAGACGCAAGACTACTACTACTACTACTACTACTATGAAAAGTTATAAATCAGTTAAAACTGAGACTAAGCATAAACGTTATTTCAAACGTGCATTATCACCTCGTAGTTTTGGAAGTTTTATTCATCGTAAAGCAAAAGAAAGTAGTACATCAGTACTACAGCTAACTGATCAGCTGAGTCCATCACATTCTACGAGGAGTGCAACTTCTCTTGGCTTTGTTAATCGTGAATTACTGCCTACAACTACAGGAAAATCAGATCAAAAGCAAGGTAATATTATACACCTTAATATATGTTCATATAATAATTATTATTATTCTATGAGGTTCCAGGTGGGACATATATATAACTTCAACAGAATATCTCCATTTTATTCTGTTTTCTGCAAGTTGTCTTCAACTGTCTCTACGATTGCCCATAGGCTCTTATCCCCTCACCAAACACGATCTTTTCCGTATCACCCTGGATCCGTGCTTAGCTCTTCGTTTCTCGTTCGGGTTCCACTCGAGGTCCTGGCGCTTGTGTATTATTCGATGGTCTCCTTAACTTGTATCTGATCCAGCTTCGTGGTTGGTTCGTTCCCAGAGTTTCTTGTCATGCTAATCCTTTCCAGTCATCCGAGCTTTATTTTAATATTGGTGAAGGCAGCTGTTGATAAAAAGTCTGAAGTCTGTTCAAAATACCTTAGTTGATATGTCAAATCTCTGAATTACACAGAGGAACTGGCCTGACTATAGTGGTGTTGAAAATCCGAATCTTTTTCTTTATTCTGACTTCAGAAGATTTCCAAACTTGTTTCGCAGTGATTAAGGTCTGTCTTGCCTTCTGGATCCGGCCTTTGAAATCCTCATCCGTGCCGATTGCCTTTAATTGAAACGATTCTGTCTAGATGCATGGAAGCAGCGACCTCTGTTGATAGTGATTGGTGGTTAGGTATCGTCATTACCTCCTCTGTGTTCTCTATGTTCACTTAAAATCCTGTCTTCGTTGACCGCTTCTTCTTCCAACTTTTTTATTAGCTTCAGAACCTTGTGTACCGGTCAGTGTGAAATGCATATGAATAAGTAACTTGTTTCAGCGACCAACTATATCAGTTCTGTCTGTTGGGATTCAACATAGAACTTGGCACCGAAGTGCAGCAGTTCGAGTTGCCACGTTCCAAAGAGCACACACACGTAGACAAGAAAATGAGTGAAGAAAATCAGTAGAGTTTTGACAAGTATAAGAGTGAAAGAGAATGAGTAGTGGTAGGAAGGAATATGAAGGATTACAGAGACTGAATACATCTGCGTAAGCCATTGACAACGATTTTGAGCCATGTCACCTATTGTCTCCAGCCATTGATTCTTAGAGTCCCGAGGGCGGGCCCCAACCCGGAAGTCTGCATCTGCCTACCTAACTGAGTTTAACTGTCAAGGATTTCATGGATTGATGAGGCCATGTTTTTGTTTGGCCACCACTTACTCTTTTCCAACCTGCACCTATATCAGCTAGTAATGCCCGTCCGTCGGGGGAGGCGATGGTTAGGCGTGCACAGCACATGACAGCCATCTCAATCTATGTAACTTTATAGCCTCTTCGAGTGATTTTCCCTCTTTGCCCAACACTCTACGCCTAACGACAACATTACTTACCTTATTAGACCACCTAACGCGAGAAAGAGATCGTAGACATCTATGATTAAAAACAGTCAAACTTTTCTATATGTTCAACTCGTATTGGCCATGTTTCAGAGCCATAGAGAAGGACGGAGCGACTTTATCAGTTATTTGTCTATCACTAGCAGTACTGATATTTTCTGAGATTATATTAGCACTTTACTCTTGGCTGATTGATTGGCTCACGTATTCAGCTTCCAGTCAGTGGGTTGGTGTTTCGAATCTCTCCTTACTCTACTTCAACCGGGTGATCACCTGGATGTGGTGCCATCAGCTTATACTCCGATACTTGAGAAATGACTAGAAACCATATTTTAAGTGATTCAGATATTATTTACCCTTTTGACATATTGCAATAACTCCTTCTTACTCTCTCATGTGTTTCAAGTTAATGCTTATTTTAATGGATATTGGGGGACTTCCATGAATTGATCTGTCAGTAGAGAGAAAAGGGAGATTTGGGAGATAACAAAGAAGGATTTTGAAACACATCATCTATAGTCTCCATCCACTGATTCTTAGCATCTCGACGACCCCAACCAGGCTGGTCTATACTTCCCGACGTGGTTAGCTCGAAGCAGCTTTATGAACTGATTAATGGCAGGTTTCCAAGTCAACCCTATGTTAGCTAATATTGCTAGTCGAAAAAAGTGATTGCTTGGCACGCGTAACACGTGTCCGAGCTATCTCAGTGGATGGTAGCTTCACAAACTCATCGAACTGACTTACTTTCCTTACCATATGATACCACTTAACACGGTAGGCAGAACGCAAACATTTGTCGTCATAGAAAGCCAACCCTTTCACGTCTAACACTTTCAATGGCCATGTTTTTTTTAACTGTAAAATGAGGGCAAGATTAAACAATAGACACCCATATCAAATGACCTTTGATTCGACCAGTCGGCTAGCTCAGTATTACAAATGGATGCTAGTCATAATCCTCGTTTGCAAGTGTCTCCTAGATTTGGATTTTGACTTCTCTGTGGAAAATGGATTGTGATAGGTAGGACTAAAACATGCATATATGGAGGGATAATGACTCTGAAAAAGTATTGCCGCGGGCTATTGATGGTTATACATTCAGGTGCAACCACTGTTATATTAGGAAGTCTGTGAGAGTTGGTAAGTCGTACATAACTGGTGATGTTTTAGAAACTTTCTTCTCGAAATCAAAGCTCTCCCTTAGTAATATATATTGCGTATATGCGACCAGTATCTGCTACAGCTGCAGAAATAGAGAAATACATTGGTTTGATATGTCTATAACCACTTCTATGAGAAATGGGGGCCAGTTTTTGCAGCATACAAAGGTACACTCTTTTCATAAATTAAGCACCACTTTTCACCTGGAAGAATCTGATTGGCTGTTTCAAGGTCGCCTGAAGGTAGTGTCTGTGCTCTCCCGTTGCCTAAATAAGAAATACAACAAACTACTGCTCAGTACGCTCGTCCTTTAACTGAATATTTCGCATGTGTTTTCGTATCTATTTAAACAAAAGTTCAATCTCATGATATGTTGATGTATGTACATATATTTTAAGTTTCTACCCATATTTCTTTTTATTTCTTATGAATTCTTGAATTTTTCAGCCAAACATGATATATCTGATATGCTGAAGTCACCTAGATTGAAGACAAGACAAAGCTTATTGAAACGACCTTTACAACAAAAGTTAACCACCAGTTCACATGATCAGCCCATTCGTCAACTACGTGAATATACTACTGGTAGAAGTATCAGTCAATTCAGTAGTAATCGTGGTATTGGTCGCGGTCGTGGGCGTGGTCGTGGTGTACAAAGACATATCAGTAAATATAAAAAATCTTATTACTATAGAAATAAGAAAAAATCATTTAAGCGTCGAATTACTTCAGATGACGAGGAAAGTGATGATGATGGCGATGAAGAAGATGAAGATGTTGATGGAAGAGAATACGAAGCAGATGCTGATGACGACGGCGACGGTGATGATGATGATGATGATGAGTCAAATGAAACTGTTGCAGCTGCTCAAAGTGGTCGAGTGGGCGGTGGTCTACTTCGAAGTAGTAAATTGCCGTCAAAGTTGGCTAAGGCTGTGACAACTCCATCTGGTGATAACAATGCAGAGAATTTGTCTACATCAAATAATAATAACAATAATTATTTTGATTCAGAGAATGATGAAGCCCCTGAAATGAGTGTTATATCAGATGAGAATCGTGCACTGTTCAATTCAATACAGGCGGATGTACAAGCTGTAAGTTGTCGCTTCTTTTGTTCAGTGTGAAAATTGTCAATCATGATTATATTACTCGATTAGGTGGGAGTGGGGGGTGGGTTAGCTCATGGTTCTCTTCATGTACTAAGCATTCAAAATGCCACTTGTTCTTATTATATATATTTATTGTTCCCTTGGGTTCCTAGTGGAACATAGGGCTTCAACTGCACGTTTCCACTTGCTTCTGTCTTCTGCTGTACTTTTCACCTGCATCCATGTTAGTCCATACTGTTTCAACTCCTCTTCACACGATCTCCTCCATGTCACCATTGCACTGACGTCCCACTCGCCGCTTCCCTTTCGGGTTCCACTCGAGCTATGGCCTGACGCGCGATGTCACCCAACGGCCTCCTCAGCGAGTGTCCAATCCATCTCCACTTTCTCCTGCATATTTGTTGGGCGATTGGTTCCTGTTTTGTTTGTTCCCATAGTTTCTTGTTGGTGATTCTTTCTGGCCATCTGATCTTCAGTATGGAACGAAGACAGTTGTTGATAAAGGTCTGCAACAGGCTGTTGGAAATATTCTTTGTGACCCGCCAAGTTTCTGATCCGTATAGCAAAACTGACTTGACGTTTGTATTGAAAATCCGAATTTTGTTGTTGATGCAAGCTGAGTGACGAAGATTTCCAGATTGGTTTCAGGTTGATGAATGTGTTTCTCGCCTTCCCGATCCTCGATTTGACATCCTCGTCCGTTCCTGCTGTAGTTGAGATAATGCTTCCTAGATAAGTGAATGAAGTAACCTGTTTCAAATCCCTCCCGTTGATAATGATTGGCGCTGGATGTTGCTGCTGTTGTTGTTGGTTGGTTATTTTCATAACCTCCGTCTTGTCTGTGTTCACCTGGAGTCCTGTCTTTGCTGCTTCTTCGACCAGTTTGTCGGTTTTCGCTTGTAAGTCTTCGATTTTGTGTGACATCAAACATAAATCATTCGCGAAATGCAGGTCTTCTATGTTTTTTTTTTTAAATTTTTTACTATTCTTCAGATCTCAGAATATATAGACATTAGATCATAGGAAATATTTTTAAAAAAAAACGATTGATGTGAAGGAAATTTTTATTTCGATGAAGTCATCAACTAGGCTGTACATTTGTGTATTAATATTAAATGGGTGAGGAAGTTACAGAACTATTTCCGGTCCAGGGGTCATATTAATGAGATTGCGAATAGGGATAAAAAGGTGTAATAATGAACAAGAAGATCGGATAAAAACGTAGTAGGATCATAATTATTGACAAAAAATTGACATTTTAGTACAATTAGGGATTAAAAATGTAGTAATAACAAATAGACAGAAAGTTTGGATAAAAAAGGTAATAGGATAATCACTATTGAGAGGATTGACTGTTTATGATGGTCACAGGGGAGACAACAGTTGGATGCTTAGTGTGGATTTGCAATTTTGGATCGCCAGTGCCTCAGCTATACCTAGATGCATGGATCTCACTCCCTTTGAGAGGTTTGATTGGATCTTGTATTTGATTTTGAAGGACTTCACAAGTACAGCTGAATATCCTGAGTGTTCATCAGACGTTCTATGTTCTACGTTTGCTAGTCAGGCTGGATTGGGTTCCTGAGCGCATTTTACACATGGTTACGGTCAGTGTATTCATCTTGACAGGGGCAAGTGAAGTGGTCCAATGAGACTTGTCTTGTCTTTCACATACTGGCTGAATAGTTTCTTGCAAGAAAATGTTGCCACTCGTAGGTTGGAGGTGAAGAATGTTTTACTGAGAGATTTGGTAGGCTATCTACGAAGAATTTCTGCCTGAGTATCACTTTTAAATTCGAGATTAAGTGGCAATGTCTTTTTTGCGGCTACCTGGACTTGTTCAGAAGTTTTCTTTGGCTTTAGATTCTTGTCTATGAATATCTGGGACAGGGGGTAAACTGTGGTCAAATTTCAAACCATTTTCTATCAACGTTTCCGGGTTGATATTTTCTGGATCCTTGAGGAAACAAAGTTTATGTAGTTCCTCTTTCTGCCTAGAAGAACACAACTGTGAAAATTGATAAATTATCCATTCCATGTGGGCTTTTTGTATATGGGGATCTCCTGAGCAAGTTATCCGTATTTCTTCACAGTTGACATTGCGTCAGATTCAACTTCTAGAGTGAAGTCGATCTATTTCTGGGTGCGCATTATTGAAAGTTTGGAGTAGGTTATCGAGATCCAAATTCTCATCACAAATGATGGAAGTATCATCATGGTATCTGTTGTAGAGATGGAGCTGGTTGATAGTTGGTCATAAGCAGTTATCTTCTCGGCTAGTAATAAAACAGTCTGCCAAGAGAGGAGTCCTAGAGGATAACCCACTGATACGTCATCTTTTTGTCTGTAGATTTCGTTGTTGATATATTACTACATTTTTTAATCCTTAATTGCACAATTAGTCAATTTTCTCAATAATTACGATCCTATCTTCCTGTTTATTATGACACCGTAATCCGTATTTGCAGTCTGAATAATGTGACCCATCGACGGGAAACAGTTCTGTCACTTTCTCACGCACAAACTGTATATATATATATATATATATATATATATATGTATATATATACAAATGTACAGTCTAATTGATGACTTTGTCGAAAAGAAAGTTTTCTTCGCCGCAACCGTATGGTTTATTTTTGCATTGAATGAAAATGGTTGCTACAGAATCGATGTGCCATGAGACTGGGGTAATCAGTTAGATACGTTGATCACTTTAGGTGGTTAAAGGACCATGCTAACCATTATTATGTACCCACTACAGTCCTACAGGAGGTCAATCGCGAGCCCGCATAGCTCAGTGGTAACGTCTCTGACTGCTGCCTCAGGATGGTCGGGGGTGGGTGCCTTGCGCTGCGGGTTGGCCACCCCTCCGCACACCTCTTGAAATGCTCCCATATGACCGGGCGTCTTACATAGCCTCTCCTGAGGAAGTCCTACTCACTGCCTTCACGTGGCGGAGGTGTTTTTCACCAAAGTGAGAGGGCGAAAGCGGATGCCCGGCGCTCTTCACCGGGTTGACTGTCCATTGGATGACAGTCTAGGGGAGATGGCTAAACCCTGATTCCAAACCTCCAACGACTGGCGTATGAAGCTCACTGGAGCTCACCGGCAGACGTATGGACAAAGGGCTTGTTGGATTTCCTGGATGTCTGGCCCCATTCAAAAAGGCGTATGAACCGAACTCCGGCTGCCAATGGATAGTGGACTCCCTACTCCACTCCTACTGCCTTGTAGGTCACACTTGGTTGTGTAAAGGCTAGAGCTGCACTCTCAAACAAAAGGCCGAGCGATTCTGGGGACATCACTCGTACCAAATTCCCATGAAATTTCATGAACTCTCTTACAAACGACTCACCACGCTATGGCGTTCCCGGTAAGCGATGCGCCCTGTGCTCACCCGGTGGCCAGTGTGACCCTGTCGCCGCGCCTGGGCAGCGATGATTCGAGATGTTCATGAAGCCGGCTCATCCTCCCATAGGAGATAGCCGAAGTAAAGTGAAGTAAGTACTGGGTGACGCGTGTTCGAATCTCAGAAGGGACATGAGTTCCTTCAAGGTTGCAGATACACCTTACTGATGAGTGCCAACTAGCACGAAACCTAGGTCCAAGGCTCCCTGTGGCCGATTTCCTCCAACTATCTAATATCGTAATTCCTTTCATTTTGTTACTCGCATATGACACAGAATTTAGGAGTAACCGTCATATCATCTTCAGTGAATATAAGTCACTCGGTGATATCAAATCTTTATTAATTGAAGTGACTTTAGTATACATGTGTGTGTTGCATAACCTTAGCAGGTGCTTTCATCAACGTTAGTATATTTTAAGTGCAAAGGAAGTCGAGTGGCATACTTACCGGCGTCCAACAATCGTCATATTTCTTGATCTGAAAGAGGCATTCGATTCCATTGACGGAGAGGTATTACGGCGATGTTTAGCTGTGAAGGAAATGCCGAAAAAAATACACTGCACTGATCAAAGCACTCAATCTACTGGAACTCATGCAGCCGTCAGCCAGTTGAGAGTATACGGAGAGTTGTCATCTGAAGTGGTGAAAACCAGTGGTGTCCATCAGGGATGCCAGCCCAGTGTCCCTATTTATGTTTAATTGCATCATAGATGTGCACACTAATGGACTTAACCCTAACTGACTTCAGCGACCACCACCAGGGAATAATAGTCTTGTTGACTTAGAATATGCAGATGATATAGTCCTTCCTCCTAGGTGAAGACTCTAGCTGACAAAATGCAGGGTCTTCTGAACACCTAGTGCGGAGCAGAAATCTTTGAATGTTTGGTATGCAATTCGCTCCCATCAGACTACAGGACTGGACTACATTGACTCCTAGCTTAAAGACAGTGGAGAGTGAAGTGGTTGGTGGGGCGTGTTGACCACTTGACTTACTCGGGAATTTGCATCAACCGGCGCTAGCGGCGTTGATCTCTGACGACATCTCACTACGGATACAGAGGGCTCATTTGGCATATGCCTGCCAGCTTACGCCATCTCTGACCTAATAGACGTGTGATATCCAGCTGTCTGTCAACCAAAAGGCGTGTGTACTGTTCAGCAGTTTGCTCCGTTCTTCTTTAAAGGCCATTGGAAGTGGAAGATACGAAAAGGCTAGTGGTCGAGTTTCATTCCTGGTCGACTCATTCCTCCTCTCCTAAAACCCGTTTAACGCATGTCATACTCGGTGAAAACGGCTGGAGTGTGTCTTGCTGGCTTAGGTATTTTCTTCCTAATCGCTTTAGGTATGTTGCCATCTATGAGGTTGTGTATCCCTGACTAAAAGAATGCTTCGTGTTCATGACAGTTTTTAATTAACCATCACTAGGTTGTGTACTAGTTCTAGTGATCCAGTCGGTTATAGTAGTAGGTAGTAATAGTAGGTAAGATAGATGTCTTCTTTGCATCACTTTCTAATATAAAAAACGAGTGAGAGTGAAACAAAGAGATAGAGAGAAAACATGGAGAAGAACGAAAGGTTTGTGTGTGTGTGCGTACACTAGCAGGTTGGTTTCTTAAAAGAAATTAACTAGAATACAAATTGATTATCCTTCTTCATATTCAGCCTCTTCTTATTATAATACTACGTGTACGGATGTAATTTGCTTTTGTTTTTGTTTCCGTTTTTATTACTTACACCCACAAACACACACACACACACAAGTATTATTGTAGTTTCCTGGGTACGTGTGTGCGTGCGTGTGTGTGTGCATGTAAGTGTGTAGGCGTCATCCTCTTTTGCCTATATCTCCATCATGTGTTACAATCTCTCACTCTCTTGGTTGCCTGCTGTATATATAGGCATAGAGGTATATAGTAGTTGTAGTATTAGTAGTTGTAGTATGATGTGTTGTGTTCCATTACAGTCATGTGGTTTTATTATTATTATTATTTAGCAGCAAGGGCAATGATTATCATCATCATCGTAATACTGAGTTTATCCTTCTCTCTCTTCTTTTTCTCTTCTGTGTCTTTTGATTATTGAGTGAAAGTTTGTTTTTCTGGGTCTTCTAATTTCCTCTGCCTATATCCTCCACCACCTCCTCCTCTATGCCTATTGAAGTCACTCACTTTGCTAATCGGGTTATACATACATACGTACGTACATTTATATATTCCTATTAGTAGTATAATATATGTCATTAATGAAAAAGAAAATAGGAAAAGCCTAAGAAATAACAATCAATTAGTTCTCCTTTTTTGTTTTTTGCTTTTTGCCTTTTTTTGACGATGAATGCAATGCTTTATATATAAGGAGTGTGTGTATGCGTATATATTTAATATACTACTGACTGATATGATTCGATGTCGATTGAACTGTTGTTAAGGGATAATTAAAGTTTTTTTCAGAAACTGCATACATTTATTCCCTTTGATGATCTTAAATAAAGCAAGAACAACAATGGTTTGTGCCAGAATATAATATGCTACCATCATTGTTTCTATCGTCATTGGCTTCTCATCAGTGACTGCTTACAGCCTAAATAAATAATTATTATTACTATAAAGTTTATGTACAGAAGCGTTTTTAACATACTTGCAAATTTTACAGGATGTCAGGTTGACAGGAGGTTCCGCAATTAGTGAACAGTGCTCACAAAATATGACTAAGATGAGAGGTGCGTAAGATGATGAGTGACTAATAAACTAGGTAACAATGTACTGAGTTCAACTCAAATCATAAAGACAAGAGACAAGTACAATTACACTATATCAAAAGTGGGGGGGGGGTGAGGTTAAAGCCAAAGATTCCGTAATCAAATGGAAGAGAAAGAATACAGACATACGGTTACCAGGATGAACAAGGAAAGACATACATTTTAATAGTGTTTGTTCGAATAGCTATAAACGAGCACTAGTCAAAACTCTGTTCTTTAAAGCCAGAAGAATACGCTCTACAGAGAAATTAGATGAAGAATTTATGATTCTCGAAAAGATGTTGTAAAGCAACCGTTACCCTTGGAGATTTATTAACGAATATGGAAGATCTGAAGGTTCAAACATCAAACAAATCACGGTGGGAAAAAAGCCCATCTACATTCAACTTCATTTTAAAGGTGAAAATATTACAGCAACTGTCAACAGAAGATTGGGGATGTTACCAGCCAGAGCATATCCTGCAGCTTAGCTGGTTCCCGTCTATCGAACAACAATCAAAAGTCGACAGATACCCTTCTCATTCAAACTCCAACTATGTATGCAAATGTACATGCATCTGAGGTAGCAGTTACATGGGGAGGACAGAAAGAAAGGCACACCACCGGTTTTCTGAACATTTATCGAAAAGTCTACGTCTCAAGGGAACAAACGCTTAGAATAGTGATATTACCAGGCATTTCTTTGATGATACGGGTCATGAGGTGGAAATCGCAAAATCCTTTAAAATTATCAATAGACAAGAAGGCTCAATTCATCTCAAGTTTGCCTGAGCAATCTCTATCAAACGCCTAAAACCTGATCTGTGTGTTCAGAAAGAAGCAGTTATCAATCTTTCCATGCCGCAGTAACTGTATGTCTTTATTCTTTCTCTTCCATTTGAATACAGAATCTTTAGCTTTAACCTCAACCCCCCTCCACTTTTGATATAGTGTAATCGTGCTTGTCTCTTGTTTCTGTTTCTTGAGTTGAACTCAGTCCATTGTTACCTAGTTTATCAGTCACTCATCATCTTACATAGCTCTCGTCTTTAATACGTAACTCCTTTACCATTGCATGCATACATTTACTTTTTTTAAACCTGAACTCCCTGTGTAAAACAGTATAAGTGTAATTTCCTGAGCACTGTTCACTAAGTCTGAAACCTCCTGTCAACTGACATCATGTAGAATTTGCAGGTGTGTTAAAACTTTTCTGTACATGAACTTAATAGTAATTTATTTAAGTTGTAGACAGCAGCTGACGAGAAGCCAACGAAATAAACGATGATAGTAGCATATAATTCTGCAAAAACCACAGTTGTTCTAGCTTTATTCAAACTAAACTTTTCAAGTCATGAGACCTAGGGGGAATGAACAAGTGTGGCGCTGAATTTTGTAGTGATCATCTGACCTAATGAATTTCGATTTTTCTTTTAGTTTAAATGAGTTTCCCATTGGATGGATTTATATTTACCCGAAATGAAATCGGTGTCTATCGACATACATGTTAGGCCGCTAGTACGTTTTTTGCTGTATGAAATCTAGGATGTGCGTTTCGTCCTATGTGAGACTCGTCGTGGATCACAACAATGGAAACCTCAGCGGACCTAATGGTACCCCATAATGTACCAAATTTGTGTTTTATTGATAATATTAATAATAAGCTATCTGCTTCCTGTGTACTTAATCGACATTGGAGTTGATTTTATTATCTATGAATACAGATGTCATCTGCCTTCATGAAAACTGCGTTATTTGTCTTCGCACTGTTCAGAATGAAATAAAGACGTATTAATAAGTCTTAAAATTTCTCCATATTTCACTATACAAAGTAAAGTATACAAATCCCATCCATTCTCCTTTTCACTATGAGGACTGTTATGAAAGCAATCAGGAAAATGAGGGGACAACATTTGTTTTATTTCTTTGGGGTTTAAAGCATTCAGTGAATAAAAAATTCAAACTTCTCTTGAATAAGGTTCTATCGCTTTTACTTACAAGCCATGTGATTAGTCCACAGGCGTATAAACGTGTATACCATTACTGAGTTTATTAATGCTCCGAAAAATAATGAATGCCATATTAGTTAATGGATACCTGGTCACTGAAGGCTTACACCAAACACGTTCCTCATCCAGTCCATACTGAAGATCAGATGACCGGCGAGGAAGGATAAGCGGCAAGGCACTCTGACGTATACAGAAGGAAATGAAGATGGATTTGATGATCGTCAAGGTGACTTTCGTGACGATGGCACATCGGTAGAATGCCCGCTAACCACGCAGGTGGTTCAGGGTTCGATTTCCGGTCGACGCACTCCTCCTTTACCTCTCTAAGCTAGTAATAACACTGGTGAAGAGGCGAGGTTGGGCACGGGGGCTAGGAACCCCATGTCGTAAAAATAGACACCATTGCTACCGGAACTTCATGCTTCTCTAGCTTGAAGCCCTATGTTCCTTCACTGGGAACGTAAAGGAATAAAATAAATAATAATGAGGAGGCTGTTGAGTAGAATCCGAATGGAAAACGATTAGTGACATGGGGAGGTGAAGGTGTGTGACCGGGGTGTGTGTGTGTGTGTGTGGAAATGGGTAATCGTTGAGCCTGTTAAGGGAGTCTGTGGAGAACAGAGTGAAGTGGAGATGTGCTTCTGAACACAGAGGCGTTCCACTTGGAACTCAAGAGGATTATGATAATGATAACAATACTATTAAACTAAACAATGTGATACCAGTTAGTTTACTAGGTTATGATGTTTATGGGCTTATGGTACTCCTTATTTGTTAGGCTGTTTTTCTGATTTATTATTTTCAGTGTATCCCCCCTGTTTTTTTCACTTTTAATGTGAACTGTAATAAAATGGTGTTTTCCTTCTTTTTTTCCTCTTCATTATTCCTTAGTGTCTGCCTCAACCACTTGAATCAAGCTTAGCCCTTCCACCGGCAAATAATCCAAGACTTTTAGCAGCTATGGATAATTCAGCATTGAATTTATCCTCAAATGATCATCGTTCAAATTCTAAACAACATCAACAACAACAACTTGAGAAATCAGAAGATCCTCGTTATCCGCCTCAAATACAATTTGGTCGGTATATTATTACCACTTGGTATTCAGCTCCTTATCCATCAGAATATGCGAGGTCAGTTGAGAAAAAAGTGGAACATTTTATGAATTTAATTTTTAAGTGATTTCAAGGAGTTTTATGCTTTGCTGTACTGTTATTATTGCTATTCCCTTGGGTTCTGAGTGGAGCAGAGTGCCTTAGAAGCACATCTGCTCCATGTCAGCCTCGGATGCATCCTCAACTCACAGTTTCCCATTAGGGTCCCACTGGAGAACGCCAACCTGGCGCCTGACTATTTCACTAGACAGTCTGCTCAGCGTATGCCCAATCCATCTCCATTTGCTGATATGTATGTATATATATGATGTGTAGCAGGTTCTTGGTTGGTTCGTCGCTTGTCAGAGTCGCTTTGTTGCTTATCCTTTCTGACCAGGCATCTTATTTTCACTATCGAGAGAAGGTAGCTTTGTTGTTGTATTATGCGTTTTAAAAATTTCTCCTGGATATTTTTTAAGTAAATAACAGTGGGTTATATTTCTTGTGAAGTCACTGGTGCATGCCTAATTATTCATTTTGATCATAGGTGCCTGCGTTCTATCTCCTGTGTTAAGCGGTTTCATAAGGTGAGCAATATTTAGGTTAGGCTTCTTCGATCGAGTGCTAGGTAGATGGGAAGGGAAATCAGTCGACAAGATTGTGGAGTTGCACCGATGTAACCGACTGAAATGGTTAAGACATGTGTTACTCATGCCTAGGCATCGCCTTCCTCATCAGACAGTGTTAGCTGACACAGGATCCATCACGAAATAGTGTTCAAAAATTATAGTAATCAGTTAGTTTAAGCCAGCCAATCGTGGGAAGGGGTAAACTTTCTGGTTGGGGTCTTCGGGATGGTAAACAATGAAGACTAGAGACAATTGGTGATATGGCTCAAAATCGTTCTCAATGGCTGGTGCAAATGCATTCACTCTTTGTAATTTGTCATATCCAATAAAACTCTACTGTTTTTCCATATTACTATTTTTTTTGCCTCACATTTCTGCTTATTATCTCTCTTTGAATCTCTTCTCTTGCTTTGTGTTGTATATAGAGTATGGTAACTCGAACTGGCGCACATCTGTGCAAAGTTGTGTGTTGAAGCCAGTCAGTCAGGTTGCATATAATTACTTGAAGAGAAGTAGCCGCTTTCTCATCTGTTGTGTATTACTAGTGTAGATTTCGCTAGGCCTTTTGTGCTCAGTTATTCTAATTGACCCTAGGTATATTACTACTTTGACCTATGTATATTTGATCTCAGGATCATATTTAGTGAGTCTTACATAACATTTCAAGGGTTCCATGTTTGTTCAAATGTATTTGGTATCCACGTCATCCCTACTTGCGATTTTATTCTTTAGGTATTAATAATAATAATAATAATAGTGGTAGCGTTTCACACACTGTAATCTATATATTCAATAAATACCCATTTATTCATTAATAGGGGAAAACACAGTTTTGTTACAGGTTTCATCATGAGCTGACATCAGTTAGAGAACCACTGGAAAACCAACTGGGAGTAGTCGACAGCCGATTCGTCCTAGTTTGAGACTCACTGGTAGCATACGCTCACAGGGGTTCGAACCCAGGACCTTTTGATTACAAGACGAGCTTGTAGACCATTCAGCCACTGGGACTCGATCCAATGGCCCCTGAATTCCAATTTCTGCCAATTCGCAATATGTATCGCTCAACTGCAACTGTTCATTTGTGACTGGCTCTATACAAGGAGTCACCTGAAATCTTAGCGAGATGTGTAACCAGCAGGGTCCACCAAGTCAGGTAAGAGATCGGTTACTCGTCAATGATACACTGGTTAGCGGTTTAGCTATATTGCGAATTGGCAAAATTTAGAATTCATGGACCATTGGATCCCAGTGGTTGAATGGTTTACGACCTCTTCTTGTAACAGGAAGTTCCTTAATTCGAACCCCGAGTGGATTCGTACTACCGAAGAGTCCAGAGCTAGGTCGAAACAACTATCTAGTACTCTCAGCTGGCTTTCCAATGGTTCTCTAACTGATGTCAACTCATGATCAGACCTGTAATCAATTGGTTTCCTGTAAACCAACACTGTTTTTTCTCATGCCTAAGAATCATTTCTTTTGAACGACTTTATTTTCAAGCTATACAGTCGTATATATATATATGTATATATTACGGAGAAATGGCATTAAGTGACAGTAAAATCAATATCCACGTATATGATAAATAATAGACATATAATTAAGATGTTTTTTTCAAGAGGGTAAAGTTCAAGTGGATAAATACGAAAATTTCTAAAAAAAATTAATCAATAATTGAATTAGTATTAAGATTTTTATAAGTAGATTGATTAAATGTTTAAGGGTAATTAGGACACAAAATCTAAGTACTGTCAAGGAAAATCTAATACAGGAAGTGCGGCATATAAGAGAAGCTTTAAAATTTAATAATTACCCTGATAAATTAATCAGGAAATATGCAGGAAAATGTGAATTTTTTTCCTTCACGTTCCCAGTGGAACATAGGGCTTCAAGCTAGTGGCTTGAAGTTTATGTACAGGATGGGGTTGCTAGCCTCATGCCCAACCTTTCCTCTTCACCAGCATTACTTCTGGCCTAGCGAGGTAAAGGAGTGCGTCGGCCAGGGAGCGAATCCCGGACCATGTGGATGGTTGGTGAGCGTCCTAACCGCTATGCCACCGACTCACAGAAAAATGTGAATACTAAAGTAATAATAATAGTAATAATAGTGATAGTGATGGTAATTATAATAACAATGACAACACGCAAGACAAATATGCACAGAATGATGACAACACCAACAGTAAAGGGATTTAAATCATTCTCAGTAATACTTTCATACAAAGAAGGGACTTCAGAGATATTTTATTTTATTTATTTATTTTTATTTAAACGCAGAAAAACTTGGTACAGTATGGCACCAAGAAAGATGCGCCACACAATAATAATAAAACAACATAGATTAAAAGTAAAAATATAGGTAGAAAACGAATAAAGAACTTCATCAGGAAGGAAAACAGTCATGTTTAACAAGTTCGAACAGTATTCGTTAACTATCATCAGGAAGAGAAGAAAGAAGAAAATTGTAACACGTTCGCCATTGTTTACGATTCTTGGCCATATCGGATAACGTGTTGAACCATCGATTCGAGCTATCTCGCGGACCCCAACCAGGGAGTCGTGACGCACCAACCGATGCTAATCTAGCACAAAAATCCTTCATTCCACGACGCCACGTCATGGACTGACCACCCCTCCGCCTTTTCCATCCTGTCCCAGGGCTAGCGAAAAGAGACCTGTATGGAAGCCTCTGGGATGACATTCGCAGCACATGTCCAAGCCACCGGAGCCGGTGTTTCCAGATGACGACACTCAATGAATGGTGATCTCCACTGTGTTCAAACACACGCCGCCGAACCTCAGAATTACTCACGCGATGATGCCATCGAACGCAAGCAATCCTGCGGAGACAGCGATGATCGAACACGCAGAGTCGCCGCACATCCTAAACTCGGAGAGGCCAGGTTTTACAGGCGTAGAGCAAGACAGCCCGCACCGAAGCATTGTATACCCGACCTTTGACAGCCAGGTTAACGTCGCGACGGCGCCATAGGTGGCACAAGTTGATGTATGCCACCCTAGACTTCATTATACGGTTGGAAATCTCATCCGTCACTCCTCCACCAGCACTCACACAACTACCCAGGTACACAAACTTATCGACAACTTCAAGCGGTTCACCCGCAAGAGTGAGTGCAGGTACAGGCTCCTGCCAATCTTGTAACAGTACTTTGCACTTAGACGGTGCAAAGCACATACCATATTTACAGACACTGATCGCCAACTGATTAAGTGCGATTTGGGCAGCCTGCATGCTATCGCACAGTAAGACGATATCGTCTGCATACTCGAGGTCGAAAAGTCTATCTCCAGGTAGCAGATCTACACCACCTTCACGCACATCCTTCAGAGCTGACTCCAGAATGTCATTGATGGCAAAGTTAAAGAGAAATGGAGAGATTGGGCAACCCTGTCTAACCCCACTGTTGGTTGGGAACAGTGATGATAGTTGGTTGTATGCCCTCACTCTACCTGAGGTGTTTCTGTATAGGGCTTTCAAGATGTTAACAAATTTCTCAGGTACACCTCTCTCTAACAGACAGTTCCAGAGCACAGTTCTGTCCAATGAATCGAAGGCAGCCCTGATATCAAGAAACACAACGATCGTTGGCCTGCAATACGTGTGGCGGTGTTCCAACAACTGACGAAGGGTGAACACATGATCAATGCATCCACGACCTGAACGAAACCCAGCCTGCTCTTCGCGAATCAATCCTTCACGTATTTTGCACAGTCTGCGAAGCATGACAGCAGCCAATAATTTAGACGCGACTGGTAGCAGACTGATACCCCTATGATTGTCACACGAATTACGTTGACCCTTTTTAAAGATAAGGACGATGATGGCTTCGTTCCACATTGATGGTACACTCTCAGTTTCCCATATCTTCCTGAACAACCCAGTTAGAGCCATTGTGAGAGTCTCGCCACCATCTTTAAAAAGAGCCGGGGGTGAATTGTCTGGGCGGGGCGCCTTATGGCGTTTTAACACTTGGAGTTCCTTACGGACCTCCGCGTCGGTGGGTAGGTCGGTATTTACCGACCAAGGAGCACTGGGGCTAATGATAGCAGACATTGGAGCTGGTGGCCAGCTAAACTGTTTCCCGAAGTGCTCTGCCCAGCGTTCCAGGCGTCTTTTCAAACTGGTAATTGGCGTGCCGTCTGCCTCTCAGACCGTCTCGCTGACACCTTGTTTCTTGCTGCCGGTGGCTCGGATGAGTTGGAACAGCTTCCGACTGTTGCCAGATGCAGCAGCTGACTCCATCTCACCCGCACGTTCTGACCACCAGGCCTCGCGGTCATTACGTAAACACTTTCTTGCGCATCAGCGCCTTTCGCTTATTGCTGTATTCGCTGCCAGCCGGAATGGACCGGCGTTCATCCAGGAGTTGCAAGGAACTCGCAGAAACC